AAAGTGACCTCATTGCTATCAAGATAATTCATAATATAAGTTTGTTATTTTTTTGCTACGTCAGAAGATAACCTTCAAAACGCAGTATACTTGCTCAATAGCATAAGTAGAGATTACAACTGCGAGACAAAAACAATGGCATTCACAGATGTGGTCTGAAGGATAGGTACAGGTTAACAAGGCTTAAACCGTTTAGTACACGACGACGATAAGTTTAAATAAATATAGCTCCTGAATATATTTAAAGTAAGTGATGCGGCTAAAGTCTACGTACAGCATTGAATTATGAGGTTTTCTGTACAACGTAATAAGATAGCAGAAAATTAGTATTAGTGTGATTATAGATACTTACTTATTAGTACTATAGAAACGCCGATTCTAGACAGGAAGTTGCACCTCCGTGACGTCATACGCTCAATCTAAACGTATAGGGAGGGGTGCCAATCTAAGGCTTGGGAAAAAAAAAAGGTTGGTATTGGAAAAGTAACTGGTGACTTTTAAAAAAAGTAACTAGAAAAAATCACCAGATCTAGTTACTTTTCCAATACCAACTTATTTTTTTCCCCGCCTTTGGTTGGCACCCCACCCTATACTTTTACGTTGAGCGGATGACGTCACGGAGGTGCAACTTTCTGTCTAAAATCGGCGTTTCTATACTACCTACCCTTATTCACAAAAAAGAATGAAACACAAGTCGCTTAACAGCTACATACTAAAAATTCAACAATAACACAAAAATTAATAGGACAAAAGCTTACATACACAGTAGTTTTTAACTAAAAATAAATTATTAGATCCATGTAACGACAGTTTTTTACCACTCAATATTTCGTTGGGTGGGTTGGAATTAAAGCAACTGAGTTTGCAACATTCGCTAACGCAGATTTCAGTTTTTTCGCATCTGCAATTTTGGATCTAACGTTCCAAAAGCTCCCAAAACCGGACTCTGAGGAGGTGTAATCAACTGCCTGGGTGCATAATATAGCAACCAATGATTGATAAGGTTTGCGGTTTGCTTCTTGAGGTCATTGTCTTGCTGGAATATCCAGCGATCCTCGAGGGCCAAGTTTTCCTGCTTCAAATTTTGTTCTAAAATACTTTTATATTTATACCGATCCATAATTCCATCAATGAATGTCGGTTTCCTACGCCAGATGCTACTATCGCATCTTAAACTATGACACTACCTCCGGCGTGCTTTACAGTTGGTACCAAATTCAACTCCATCGCCGTGTTTCGTTTCTTCGAAACTTTTCCATCACTTCCAAAAAGGTCCATTCGGTCCAGAAATCCATTCCGTTGTCCACATGAGATTGAGCAAATTCTAGTCGAAGACGACGATTCTTTTCTGAAATCAGGGGTTTTCTTCGGGCTGTACTGCTGAAAAATCTATTATAGCATAGAACTCTTTGTACGGTTCTTGGATGCACAGATTTATTAGATACAGTCGCGATGTCAGCTAATTTTGGTGCGCCAACTCCATGGTATTTGCTCACTTCTGTTAATATGAAGCTAATAGTATATCTCTTCTAGACAGTTTCTTTGGCAGATCTGTACGAATTTTGCTAGCGAATGAATCAGTCTCATTCTTTCTCTTGGCAATTTGGCAAAAAGCCTTTCCTTTCTTTTCGATGTTTTATTACCAATTTTCTAATTTTAACAGAAATTTCTTGTCGCAATGGCATTTTGCAACCAGTTAGAACAGTGACCAAAAAAATCATCGGGCTTGACAAGTAAATGACGTGACTATAAATAGTGAAAATACTCCAATTTTAGCACATCAAAATTAATGTTCCATGTCCATACATTTTTGTCCTGGATACGGCATAGAAAACATTCAATTTTTGAGAATCCCTTTCATGTTGGGTAATGTCATGAGGATTTTCCGTTCCCCATATCCGAATGTTGCGATGGTTCACCTTGCCATTTTAATGAAATGTCGCTGAACACCAGACGGTTGGCAAATTCATCATCCTCCATTGCTTCCTGCATGTTAGTACAAAACTGGATTTGTTTGACGTGGTCATTTGCATAATATATCACTATGTTGCATATTTTTATTGCACTAAAACTGGAACTAACACTAGACCTAGAAATATTCGTGTTTAGCCGTGCGCTTAAAAATAATTTTGGTGTTTTTTGAAAGTTTCGACGCACGGCTAAGAAAAAATTTTCAGGTGTTAATGTCAACTTTAATTTTATTATTATATTCATAATCTTTATAAACTAACCTTTAAAATGAGTCCAAACATGACGCACTTATCTCAAAAAACAAAAAAGTTAGAATAAAAAACATTAAACCCGAAGTTAGCAACAATGAAGATAGCAATTTAATTTTTAAATATTAATACCAACCTTAATTTTTTATTTTTTTTATTATATTTTTGTTTTTGTGACAAATTATAAGATATTTTATAAAATTAAGAATATATCAAAATGACATTGACATTTCAAACCGGAAGTTGCTTATATCTCGAGTAATATTGGAATTAATCGTATATGATGTTTGGACTCATTTTAAAGGATTTTTCACGACGATTACAAATATGTCAACATTGAGATTGACATTTCTAACCGGAAGTTAACCTTATGGTATTATTAATGAAGTTATCTTCATTAATATTGAAAATAAATATGTCGTGTTTGTACTCATTTTAAAGGATTTTTAATGAAGATTACAAATATGTCAAAATTGAGGTTGACATTTTAAACTTGAAGTTAGTTATCATATAATAGACTAATGGATAACTTCATGGTGTTCTTCCATGATCTATTTTTTTTATTAAAAAACCTTTAAAATGCGTCCAAACACGAACATTTATCTCAAAAAACCAAAGAGTTGGAACTTTCTACTTTTAATTGTGACATATTTGTCAACTTTACAAAAAATCCTTTAAAAGGAGCCCAAAGTCGACATATTTAACTTTAATATTAATGGAAATACAATCACTTCCGGTTTGAAACGTCAACGTCAATTTTGACATATTTGTCATCTTCATTAAAAAACGTTTAAAATGAGTCCAAACATGACGCGCTTATCTCAAAAAACAAAAAAGTTAGAATAAAAAACATTAAATTAAAGAATATATCAAAATGACATTGACATTTCAAACCGGAAGTTGCTTATATCTCGGGTAATATTGAAATTAAACGTATCATGTTTGGGCTCATTTTAAAGGATTTTTCACGACGATTACAAATATTTCAAAATTGAGGTTGACATTTCTAACCGGAAGTTAGTTATCATATAATAGACAAATCGACAACTCTACATGTCTATAGACATGTCATTTGCTATTTTATCTGTCATACTTTCCTAATTATTATGGTCTTGTCAAACCCGATCATTCTTTTGTACTAACCCTCTATTTGTAATGACACTAATACTAATTTTCTAAATATTATCTTATTATGTTTTACAAAAATGCCGTATGTTTGTAGAGTTTTGTCCGTCACTATACACTTTTACTCCGATTGACATAAAAATTTAGTTATTAATACCAACCTTAATTTTTGAATTTTTTTTAAAATTTTGTTTTTGTGACAAATTTTAAGACATTTTATAAAATTAAAAAATATATCAAAATGACATTGACATTTCAAACCGGAAATTGTTTATATCTCGAATAATATTGGAAATAAACGTATCATGTTTGGGCTCATTTTAAAGGATTTTTCACGACGATTACAAATATGCCAAAATTGAGGTTGACATTTCTAACCGGAAGTTAACCATAACTTCATTAATATTAAAGATAAATATGTCGTGTTTGTACTCATTTTACAGGATTTTTAGTGAAGATTACAAATTTGTCAAAATTGAGGTTGACATTTTAAATCTGAAGTTAGTTATCATATAATAGACTAATGGATAACTTCATGGTGTTCTTCCATGATCTATTTTTTTATTAAAAAACCTTTAAAATGCGTCCAAACACGATACATTTATTTCAAAAAACCTTTGATTATATATAATTTGGATTGAGCTAACTGAATATATCTACAAAAATGTTGCTCAAGGTGAATAGACGCAGATGGAAAGCGATAATGTGAAAGTGTAACAAAGATAGATATATGTCAGTACGCTTCTATATCTATCTCACTTCTATCAGTACACCCATTATATGGCAGTACGCTTCTATATCTATCTCACTTCTATCAGTACACCCATTATATGGCAGTACGCTTCTATGTCTATCTCGGTTCGATCACCTTGCGCAAGCTATCTCTGTCGTTGGCTCAATCCATATTATATATAATCAAAGCAAAAAGCCAAAGAGTTGGAACTTTCTACTTTTAATTGTGTTTAATTGTGTTAATTGTTACTTTTAATATATCAAAATGACATTGACATTTCAAACCGGAAGTTGCTTATATCTCTCGTAATATTGGAATTAAACGTATCATGTTTTGGGCTCATTTTAAAGGATTTTTCATGACGATTACAAATATGTCAAAATTGAGGTTGACATTTCTAACGGGAAGTTAGTTACCATATAATAGGTAAATGGACAACTTATTTGCTATTTTATCTGTCATACTTTCCTAATTATTATTGTCTTGTCAAACCTAATCATTTCTTTTTTTACAAATACAGGGTTATATTTGTAATCCCACTAATACTAATTTTCTAAAATATTATCTTATTATGTTTTACAAAATCCTCATAATTCAATGCTGTATGTTTGTACATAGACTTTTGTACGTCATTGTACATTTTTACTCCGATTGACATAAAAATTTCAGAAAATATTTTAGGCATATTGTACCATTAGATCAAAAATAAACTCAAATAAATACTTTTCAGAATTAGATTAGTACCAATATGATTTAGACCTTTTTTGACATTTTAGAACTAAATGACATTCGAGTGACATCCTGCTTGACATTTCGGTTGTCAATTTGATTAAACTCGAAATTTTAGTTTTAGTTCTAAAAAATAATTAAATTTATTAAAAATGTTATTAATTCTTTAATTTTATTAAATAAAAATGAATTAGGTTCTCGACATCAAACCCCCGATACAGATGAACGCGTTGGAAACGCTCCCGGACGACAATACGGGGGTCCTAATCGAGGTGGAGGCGGACGAGGTTCCCGTAAAGACCCTCGAAGAGACGATAGAAGACGTACCACCGATGACGAAGAAACCGTATTGGATAGTCAAGAAGTTTCGAGCGCCGATAGAGGTAAAATAATTTTATTTTTAAGAAACTATTTTGTATGTATTAGTTAATTTGGTTATAATTTGATATCTTGGGCATGTGGTATCTACTATATTTAGTTGTTAGATAGGTTAATAGACGAGATATGAAATTTAATTATAAAATGTATGGATGGGGTGTTCGTGTATAGAGTCTGTGTCGAGCGCGGAGGCGATCTCCTGGTCCGGGGGCCCGCCGCGGCGGAGGAGGCGCAGGCCGAGACATCACAGTGAAACGCGAAGGTCGCCCCCTCACTACAGTAAGTAATTTTAAAAAGGCCACAACAAAAATAAGACCATAAAAATTCGAACAACAATGGGTGTGATGTGAATGTGTACAGTTTGATTGCGAATTCATTTTTGCTTACAGTTTTTTTTGTTAACTGCTTTTTTAGTGCATGTTATTATTACTAATTAACCTTCGAGCAGGCGCGTGTCATAAATTTTATGACATCAGGTCCGTATTAATAAATATTAGGTTATTTTTAATAAAACAGTTAAAAATATTTAATTCATATTAAACAATTGTTAAAAACATAAAATGAAATCGATTAATTTTTGAAATCTAACAACATTTACAAACTATATACAGGGAATTTCATATAAGTCGCAATATATGAATGCAGTAACCATAGTTAAGAAACTACTGTGCACTTCTAGTAATAGTGTACTAGATAGCGCTAGATTGTATATTTTTATGTAACTAAAACTAGAATTAACACTAGAAACATTCTAGTTTAGCCGATCGTCTCTTAAGACTACTAAACCCGAATGATTCTAGTTCTAGGTCGAGTAATAATTCTAGTAATAGTGTTAAGTAGCGCTGGTAAGCACTAGATAGCGCTAAATTGTATGTTATTGAACTAAAACTAGAATTAACACTAGAATGTTGAAAATGATGAAAATTTTTTCTATAACGGACTTTTGGCTATAATGGACATATACCGATATACAGGCTGTCCAATTAGTGCGATATCGGACGATATCTCCTTACAGGGTGTCGCTAGAAGAAAATGTTTATATATAAAGTTGTTTGGTGCTCGAAGGTGCATAACCTAAAAATATTTTTGTTTATACAGGGTGTTGCAAATACAAAGTACAAGGTACAACTTCGTAAATTTAAATGGAACACCCCATATTTTATAATAGTAAACCATTTTTATTAATTCATCTCTTGAAAAATTCGTATTGAATATTATTAGTTTGTACAAATTTAGCAGACTGTCAAATTCAAAGCATTCTTTTGCTTTGTTGTCATCAATTATTATTTTCATAGCCAACCAACAAACATTCTTTGAAATCAAATGGGTATTAAAGTAGAAATTTGTAAAAAGCGTAATTAACTTGATAACTATTGCAAATAGGTATAGGACATGCTTTATAAAAAAGAAATCTTATTACTTGGCGAATAATTTAAGAAAAAAAAAAGTATGAGGCATTCCATTTAAAAAAAATTAGATATAGCTATTTCAAGTGTCTGGTATTGAGTACAATATTACGAACATCCTGTAGAAGGTTACCAGATTTTTATAAGGGCATGAAGTTACTGTAACTATGCATTAATAATCTACAAAAGATTTGCTTTGTAATATCTTAAATAAATTAGGTATGTTTTCTTTTATTATTATTATTTTTTCACAAAATGTTTAATATTTCAAAAACGGTAAAATTTTGGTATAGGTAATGCTTAACAAAAAGTATGTCGAATTTTAAGGGTAATTCAAAAATGTAATAAAATATGGGGTGTTCCATTTAAATTTACGAAGTTGTACCTTGTACTTTGTTTTTGCAACACCCTGTATAAACAAAAATATTTTTAGGTTATGCACCTTCGAGCACCAAACAACTTTATATATAAACATTTTCTTCTAGCGACACCCCCTGTAAGGAGATATCGTCCGATATCGCACTAATTGGACACCTTGTATATCATATTTATATCTAACATTTTTTTTGAGATTATCTTAATAATTATTATCTGAATCAAAACATTTTTCAAACAAATCTTATTTAGAATCGAGCAAGTAACAACTTTCATTAAGGGCCGGTTGTACAATATACCGATAAACTTCCCGACAGCGTTATCTGGCCGATAAGTTAGTTCGTACTGTATTACAATGTACGGATATTATTATCGGCAGGATAACTTATCGGGTGCTCAGTGGTGCCGATAAGACAGTTATCCGCCAGATATTTATGGTTACCAAGGTTTTTATATAAAAACTTTGTATGGTTACTGCATAGGTTAACCTATAAGATCCTATACGTACGTTTAGTAGTTTAGAAGAGTAGGTTGAAAGTACAAATAGGGTCAAAACATGCCCTATTATGAGTTAAACATATTCCCCAAATTTCATTGTCCTAGCGTTTATAGTTTTTGAGAAAAAAAAAAGCTCCTTAGGGGAGCCGAAGTCGCCCATGATTCATATATCAAAGTACCCTTAAAATTCACTAAAGAATCACCTCTTGAAGTTTGTTGCAGTCATTCAGATACACCTGTATATGATATATACAGGCTGATTTATAACATACGGAGCAGACTAAAAGGGTAGGTACTAGAGGTAAAAGTGAAGAGATTTTCTTAATAATGTTTTGTTAAAAACTAAATAATCGCATGTTAATTTTTTAAATAATTTAACGTCGATTTTTGAGAACCGCTGATATTCAGTAAAGAATAATTAAAATACTTGTCCGTTGCTAAGTAACCAAATCAACTGGATTGGCAGCAATAAAAACATGGTATCGGCGGTTCTCAATCAACAAACACCACCGTTTGAGCGTTTTAACAAATTTTTTAAATAGCCGTAACTGCTATATTATAAAGATATGGCAATAACTAACTGGCTATATAATTTAAACGTATATGGTAACTTTAACGTTCTATATCTTTGCGATTATTAAGTTGTGGTCAAAACATTATTAGGAAAATATCTTTAATCTGGCTCCTAGTACCTATCCTTTTAGTCTGCTCCGTATGTTATAAATCACCCTGTATAGCATTTTTTTTGAAGTTATATATATTAATAATTATTGATTGAATCAAAAAATTTTTCAAACAAATCTTATTTAGAATCGAGCCAGCAACAACTTTCATTAAAACAGTTTTTTCGAATAATCGAAATTATAGAAACTTAGATTTCCCTGTGAATAGTACGATGAAAAAAAATTCAATTTTATTAAAAATTGTTTCAGATAAAATTTGTTTAAAATACATTTTATAATCGATTATTTTAATAAAAATTTTTGATATGATTACTAGATGGCGCTGTATACCGATATATATCATATATATAACATTTTTTGAAGTTATCTTAATAATTATTGTTTGGATCCAAAAAATTTTCAAATAAATCTTATTTAAAATCGAGCCAGTAACAACTTTCATTAAAACATTTTTTTCGAATAATCGAAATTATAGAATCTTTGATTTCCCTGTGAATAGTACGGTGAAAAAAAATTCAATTTGATCAAAAATTGTTTCAGATAAAATTTGTTTAGAATATGATTTATAATCGATTATTTTAACAAAAAATTTTGATATGGTTACTAGATGGCGCTATATACCGATATATATCATATAAATAACATTTTTTGTAGGTTATCTTAATAATTATTGTTTAAATCAAGAAATTTTTCAAACAAATCTTATTTAGAATCGAGCGAGTAGCAATTTTCATTAAAACATTTTTTTTTCGAATAATCGAAATTATAGAATCTTAAATTTCCCTGTGAACAGTACGATGAAAAAAAAATTCAATTTTATCAAAAATTGTTTAGAATATGATTTATAATCGATTATTTTAATACCAAATTTTGATATGGTTGCTAGATGGCGCTGTATACCGATATACAGTGTGTCCCAGGATAGATGTTACAAGAGGTATAATGACTTAAAAATTTTTGAAATCTATTTTAACGCTAAGGAATTAAACCCTGCTTGGTGTGAGAAGAATTTTAAGAATATTATCATATTAAAAAAACAAGGGCAACCTTGACAATGAATCGAAAACTACGTTTACTTTTACTTTCTTTTAGGTAAAGTAATCTTTTTGTTCATGATACGGAAAAATTTTATTAAGAAAAATTGTTCAAAATGAGAAATTATGGTCCTATACAAAATTTCAGAAGGATCTATCTACTTTGATTGAACCATCACATTTTAGTTTAAATAACATAAATATTGTATAGTAATTGAAATGTGAAAAACTGAGGGATAATACAATTTATTTGTCAATATTTGCGACTACTTAAGTCATTTTTTTTTCCATGGCATTTTTCATTGTTTTTTTTTTTCTTCACTCTGATCTAATCTAAAATATGGTGGTTTAATCAATGTAGGTAGATCTTTCTGAAATTTTGCATAGTGCCATGATTTCTCACTCTGAACAACTTTTCTTAATAATATTTTCCCGTATCATGAACAAAAAGCTTACTTTACCTGAACTCAAAATAGTTTTCGCTTCACTATCAAGACAGAGTTGATTTTCGAAATATGAAAATATACTTAAAATTCTCTCCACACCAAGCAGGGCTTAATTACTCAGCCTTAAAATAAAATTCAAAAATTTTTAAGTCACTATACCTCTTGTAACATCTATTCTGGGACACACTGTATATCATATATACATAAAATTAATTCTATCACAAATTGTTTCAGATAAAATTTGTTTAGAATATGATTTATAATCGATTATTTTAATAAAAAAATTTGATATGGTGACTAGATGGCGCTATATACCGATATATATCATATAAATAACATTTTTTTTAGGTTATCTTCATAATTATTGTTTGAATCAAAAAATGTTTAGAACAAATCTGATTTAGAATCGAGCCAGTAACAACTTTCATTAAAACATTTTTTTCGAATAATCGAAATTATAGATTCTTTGATTTCCCTGTGAATAGTACGGTGAAAAAAAATTCATTTCTATCAAAAATTGTTTCAGATAAAATTTGTTTAGAATATAATTTATAATTGATTATTTTAATACAAAATTTTGATATGGTTAGTAGATAGCGCTGTATACCGATATATATCATATATATAACATGTTTTTGAGGTTATCTTAATAATTAATGTTTGAATCAAAATTTTTTTTAAACTAATCTTATTTAGAATCGAGCCAGTAACAACTTTCATTAAAACATTTTTTTCGAATAATCGAAATTATAGAATCTTAGATTTCCCTGTGAATAGTACGGTGAAAAAAAAATTCGATTTTATCACAAATTGTTTCAGATAAAATTTGTTTAGAATATGATTTATAATCGATTATTTAATAAAAAATGTTGATATGGTTACTAGATGGCGCTGTATACCGATATATATCATATAAATAACATTTTATTTGAGGTTATCTTAATAATTATTGTTTGAATCAAAAAATTTTTCAAACAAATCTTATTTAGAACCGAGCCAGTAACAACTTTAATTAAAACATTTTTTTCGAATAGTCGAAATTATAGCATCTTAGTCCTAGTCTTCTAATAAAAATATATTGATTTGAATATTAAGTTCTAATTTCACATGTTTCGCTTAAACAATGATGATTTTTATACACTCAATTTCCACCAGTACATAATGAATTTGTGACTGTTTTTATTATTTTATTTATTCGTTCGACGAATTGTGAATTAGAATTTATTCGAATGACTTTTCGACTTTCACAAAGTTCATTTTTCTGAAGATGCTTACATTGTTTAAGCGAAACATGTCAAATTAGAACTTAATATTCAATCAAAGTACAAAATAATTATTTATAATCCTTTAAATGACATTCCGATTACTGGTTAACATGGATCACAACATCAATTTCGGTTTTAATTTTAAGTAAATAAGACCATATTTCAAAATTTAACATCAAAATTATACAAATTAATTAATTCATGTAATATGTAAATTCGATTACATCTACAGAAATCTGTAAAAAACTGACTATGTTTACATTTTTAACCCCTTTTATTTTAAATTTGTAGATTTGCACAAATAAATATTTTATTAACTGCCTTTAATCATTTTTTTTTCATCTTTTCAGTATTTAATATTGAAACGATGAAGAAAATTTCGATTCCGACAAAATTGTCATTACGGACCTGTATTTTTCAAAAATGTATGACTCAAGACCTGTTTATAATACATTTATATCCCTTAATACATCCCATAATATAAATACGACTTTAATTATATATTAATCTATAAATCAGAAATCAATATGTAAATTTTTTATCTTTTTTTTTTTCATAAATATAACGTCAATATATTTTTTTTTCATCATGTTCAAAATACATAGTTACATGAATTCTTTAGCGTTAAATTCTTTCAAATACATAATATAAGGAGATATATTATAAAAAGGAGAATTGTCATAAATTTTATGACAGCGCGTCCGCTCGAAGGTTACAAAAAAAAATTAATAAATAGAAGTACTAAATTAAATAAACGAATATATTATTTTATTTCCAGGTAATAACGTTCATGGGGAAACACAAAATAATCGTTCATCTAGTGTCGGACCACAAAAGGTGCACCACCAAGATCAACAACAACAACAACGGCGTTCATCCACCAACAATAAACCACCACCAAGTCGTCGTAATGACCCAAAACCGAAAGAATTGGTCAATGGGACGACCGCTTAATTGAGAAAAAAAACTTTCTATTTTATTTTTGTTTTTAGTTTATTATTCCTTTTCAATTAAGTTCTAATTATTATAGATTTTTTGAAAAAAAAAAAACAAAAAAAAAAACAAAACAGTTTCTTCAAGTTTTTTCGATTAATACGCGTTGTTGTTTTTCCCCTAAAAACAAGATTAATGCAAAGTTAAAAATAAATATATAATGAGTGTATAAAAAAAAAAGAAATAAATGATGAAAGAAGAGGATTAAAAAGAATTATTGGTGAGAGAGACTTTGATAATAACGATTAATAATAATACTTTTCTAACCTTGTAACGAAAAAAAAACACCTCCTCTTTTCCCCCCCCGAATTCAAGGGGACCGCATTAATTTATGAGTTTTCTTTATTTTTTAATTTATTTTTTTTTCGCGGTTCTCTAAAAATTAATCTAAGTAGGATGCAAATCTTTTTATTTTCAATTTTCTCTCATTTTTTAATTATTAGTGATCGTTTTTTACCAAGTTGCTAAGTTTTATTTTATTTTATTTTTTTTTTGTAATTAATTTTCGCCGGAAAATTTACTTAAAGCGCTTCTATTTGTTCGATCTTATTATTATTTTTTTTTTTAGAGTTTTCGTTTAATTATTATTACGATAAATTTAAACCTTTGTGTCTTTTACACCGATTGTAATAATTTTATTTTGCATTCAATAAAAATTTATAGATTTGCGCAAATAATAGTATATTTTTTAAATAAAATTTAAACGTCAATGTGACACAAATTCAATGTTACCAACTGTAACTAACTTCACAACAATTTGTCAAAGTTAAAATCAATTCTATGAAACGTCACGGTTTTTTTACTAAAATTAATTAATTTATGCTTGAATCATACGAAAAAAGGAATTTGTTTACGTTTTTTTAATATCCAACCTTTAGAAAGTCCTAAAATAATTAAATTAAATTGACGTTTTTTGAAATTTGACGTTTCAAATAATTATTAGTCCTTCAAGTTGATTACACGTGAATAATGATTATTCACCGCTAATTAACTCTGTGAAAAATGACTACCCTTTAAAACTCATTTTTTTAAATAAACTTTTGAATAAAATTTAAACATCAAAGTTACCAACCGTAACCAACTTCACAACAATTTGTCAAAATGAAATGTCATTTTTATGAAACGCCATTTTTTAAATTAAAATTATAAGTTAATTAACAATATTATAAGGTAATTATGGATAAATATTTTATTAACTGCCTTTAATCACAAAAAATTACAATATTTTAATTAATCACTTCCCTCAGAATCGTCTTTATCAATATTATTAACACTACCTTCTAAAAAATTAACTCTAGCTTCTGCTAAACATTGCAAAATACCACTTTGTGCTTGCAAAGCATATTCTTCTGATAATTCCCTTAATTGAGTTGCAACAAATCGTCCGAATGCGTCACAATCGTCATTAGATGAATCTTTTTTCATTGTTACATATTCTGGATGAACAGCATCTACTAATGATTTTTGTTTCTTGGTATTTGTTAATTCCAAATTTGATTCCCTTTCTCGTTTGTTACAATTTGGTCCACTTACAACAGCACTACCCACTTCGCTACTAAAACTATCTAACTTAAACACCGAGCTAACTTTAACCATGTGAGAGTTGTTAATTTCAATTAATTCGAGATTATCATCATTGGAGTTTCCATCTTTTCCATATAATTGTACTTGACAATATGGCTTTAAAAAGCTATCGATTACATTAAACCAAACAACTTTGGGTTTATAAATTTCTTCATCATTCTTTTGTATACTCATATGAATCCTTTTTAATTCCTGGCAATAAGATGATCTAACATTTTTAAACTTATGAACTACTTCAGCTGGGCCAAATCCTGTTATATTGAGTCGGTTTGCAATTCTTTCTACAGCTTGACCTCTTACATCTTTCGTTTTGTAATTTACGTGGTTAGTGTTCCATAGACATTCTTCTGAACGATATAATTCAAGAAATCTTACTATTGTCGTATCAGACATTCGATAAATTAATGAATTTGCCATAATTTTTGGGAGATAAAGTAAAAGGGGTTAAAAAATGTAAACATAGTCAGTTCTTTACAGATTTCTGTAAATTTAATCGCCCAATTTAATTTACTTAATAAATGAATTAATTAATTTGTGTAATTTTGATTTTGATGTGAAATTTAAGAATATGGTCTTATTTATTTAAAATTAAAATTATTATTAAAGAAATTTAATGAAATATAAACAATTTAATATTTTAAAATATTTCTAATAGATGTCGCCATAATATTTTTTTTGTTTGTAGATGTTTGTTTACAAAACAAGGTGTTTAAAAGAAAATCTTCGATTCTGCGTATTTTCTTTAAATATTATAGTTGGATAACACAGGTAAGTTTATATTTATATATTTAAACTAAAACATTTGTATTTTCTACAATATCATTTGATTTTGAACATTTTTTCTTAGTTATTGGCTGCATTCATGTTTCTATTTTTCTATATTTCATACTATGAGTAAGTATGTTGTATAACTCAAGAAATCTCACTATTGTGTGATATTCGATAAATTAATGAATTTGATATGATTTTTAAATGATGAAAATGATTAAAAAGTAAACACAATGTCACTTCTTTTACAGGTTTCTGTAAATGTTTTCGCATAAATCAATTTAAATAATAAATTAATTAATTAATCTGTATAATTTTGATTTTGAGAAGAAATTTAAGAAAGTGTTCTCATTTAGTTTAAATTGAAATTATTTTTGAAACAATTTTATAAAATTTAATTAAAAAAAGTAATTTAATAGATTCGATAATGGATGTTGCCACAGTATTTTTGTTGACGTTTTTGATTGTATTATAAGTGTTTGTTTAAAAGTTAAATGTTATTTGAATTTGAACATTTTTCTTAGTTATTAGTGGCGTTCATGTTTCTATTTTTCTATATTTCATACTATGAGTTGTTTAACTCAAGAAATCTTATTAGTATTGTGTTATATTGGATAAATTAATGAATTTGTTATGATTTTTAAATAATGAAAATGATTAAAAAGTAAACACGTCACTTTTTTTACAGGTTTCTGTAAATGTTTTCGCATAAATCAATTTAAATAATAAATTAATTAATTAATTTGTATAATTTGGATTTTGAGGAGAAATTTAAGAAAGTGTTCTCATTTATTTTAAATTTAAATTATTTAAAAAAAAATTTTATTAAATTTAATTAAAAAAAGTAATTTAATAGATTCGATAATAGATGTCGCCACAGTATTTTTGTTGACGTTTGTGTTTGGATTATAAGTGTTTGTTTAAAAGAAAATTCTTTTTAATTTTTCAGCGAAAATCTTCTATTCTGCAAGTTTTTTTTACTTAAATCTTAAAGTTGGATAACACAGGTAAGTCGTTTATATATTTAAACTAAATCGATTGTATTATCTACAACATTATTTGATTTTGAACATTTTTTCTTAGTTATTAGTGGCATTTATGTTTCTATTTTTCTATATTTCATACAATGAGTTGTTTAACTCAAGAAATCTTATTAGTATTGTGTTATATTGGATAAATTAATGAATTTGTTACAATTTTTAAATAATGAAAAGGATTAAAAAGTAAACGCAATCTGTCTCCTTTTTACAGGTTTCTGTAAATGTTTTCGCATAAATCAATTTAAATAATAAATTAATTAATTAATCTGTATAATTTTGGTTTTGAGGAGAAATTTAAGAAAATGTTTTCATTTACTTTAAATTTAAATTATTTTTAAAAAATTTTATTAAATTTAATTAAAAAAAGTAATTTAATAGATTCGATAATAGATGTCGCCACAGTATTTTTGTTGACGTTTGTGTTTGGATTATAAGTGTTTGTTTAAAAGAAAATTCTTTTTAATTTTTCAGCGAAAATCTTCTATTCTACAAGTTTTTTCTTTAAATGTTAAAGTTGGATAACACGGGTAAGTCGTTTATACATTTAAATTAAATCGATTGTATTATCTACAATATAATTTGATTTTTAACGTTTCTTTCTGAGTTATTAGTGGCATTCATGCTTCTATTTTTCTATATTTCATACTATGAGTTGTATAACTCAAGAAATCTCACTATTATTATGTTATATTCGATAATTAATGAATTTGTTATGATTTTTAAGTAATCAAAAAGTTTAAGAAAATAAACGCAACTGTCACTTTTTTACAGGTTTCTGTAAATATTTTCGCATAAATCAATTTAAATAATAAATTAATTAATTAGTTTATAATTTTGATTTTGAGGAGAAATTTATGAAAATGTTCTCATTTACTTAAAATTGAAATTATTTTTGAAAGATTTTATGAGTAATTCTCGCATATCAATNAATCTTCGATTCTGCAAGTTTTTTTTACTTAAATCTTAAAGTTGGATAACACAGGTAAGTCGTTTATATATTTAAACTAAATCGATTGTATTATCTACAACATTATTTGATTTTGAACATTTTTTCCTAGTTTTTAGTGGCGTTCATGTTTCTATTTTTCTATATTTCATACTATGAGCTGTTTAACTCAAGAAATCTCACTATTATTGTGTTATACTCCATAAATTAATGAATTTGTTATGATTTTTAAATAATCAAAAAGTTTAAGAAAATAAACGCAAACTGTCACTTTTTTTACAGGTTTCTGTAAACATTTTCGCTTAAATCAATTTAAACAATAAATTAATTAATTAGTTTATAATTTTGATTTTGAGGAGAAATTTATGAAAATTTACTTAAAATTGAAATTATTTTTGAAAATTTTATAACAAATTTTATGAATAATTCTCGCATATCAATGACAGAAAAGGTAGAAAAAGACTTAATTACACAACTTTATTTATTTTCTTGTTTTATACATCCTAAAAATAAATACATGTACATCTCTGGTATAAAGAATGTATATATACATCTAATAATTCAATTTCGATTATTTTTGGATTACACCTGATTTTTACTTTTTATTTATATCTTTTTTTGTTTGACATATTAATACCGAGTGATACATTTAATCATACATGAGCTAACTTCACGTGAATCAAACAATCACTCAGCATATATACATTTATTATTGATTTTTTAATTTATCTTCACTCGTATAGCAGATATGTTTATTTTTTTTTAATTCCTGATAAACCAGCAGATGATAGATATTAAAATTCCCAAAAATGCGTATTTCTCATATCACAGAACGGAAACTTTCTTACCCTCATAAAATAAATTAAGCATAAATATTTTTTTAATTAATTAACACATTACATTTATTTAATTTAAAGTAGCCGTTCGCATTCCTCCGTTATAATCGTATCATCTTCATCTGATTCGGTTAAAATTCCATCATCATCACCTGACCAATGATCAAACTCTTCTTTGTGATGTTCCAACGACATCAACGATGGGAATAAACTATCGCAAGCCGAACACCTAAACAAACATTAATCCCAATTTTTTTTTTTTTTGGTTTTAAACTTACCCAAAATGTCTTTTCTTTTGCTTGTGAGATGAAAGCTGCTTCGGGCAAGCAAAAGATCTATCGCAGACGTTACATGTAAGAGCTTCGTCTAAAAAAAAAGATTTAATCTAAAAACCACGTCGCGTGGAAAAATAAATCGAATGGAAATCCGGTATCGAAAATCCTATTTTCCCATCTTTATCGTAATCCGAGTCTGTTTGAACGCGTTTCGATGTAAACTCGATTACGAATGGAAATGCGTTAATAGTTCACTTGGAAAATCGGGAAATCCATCGGGAAATAAACTTGGTTTAGTTGAATTCCATAATTATTATTGTGATAAAATTTTTTTTCAAATAACGTGTCGAAACACGTTCCAATTTCACGTTTTCATTAGTGGGGGGATGCACGATGAACGGAAGGATCTTGACAAAACGGACAGGGTTGTCATTCGTTATATGTTTCGGGGGGATGCTGTAAAACTGCAAAATTCGCAATGTTTTTGCAAGAGCAATCGATACGGACGGTTGATTGCTAGGGATGTACCGTACCCTCCGTGCCGTGACCCGGGTGATATTTAAAACTCAAACTCTACGTTCGTGTAACTTCCCCACCTCGATTGGCGAGGAGAAAACCGAAACGGACACCCGCGTTTACTCGCCGAGGAAAAGCTTTATTGGATTTTCGTGTCTGTGCCAGGTAGAAAACTCGAAAGCTTCAACGTAGAGGGAATTCGATATTTTTTTTATCAACACAAAAAAGAATGAATGGAAAAAATAAATATGACATTTTATTTATAAATATTTATATAACTCTTTCACATAAATTGATTGGTACATTTGATGCAGTTTTATGTTTATGATACATAGTTGCAGAAATTTACACAGTGTTAGCAGAAGACTACACACTGCCAAATATGTTCTAGATACTGCTAATAGAAGACTAGATACTGTTAAAGAAAGATTAAATACTACTTACAGAATTATTATATTAGTTGCAGAAGACTGGATACTGTTGGGAGAAGATTAGGTACTTCTGAGTACTGCTAGTATAGTTTACACTGCTAACAGATGAATGGATACTGTTTGCAGAAAATTGGTTACTGCTTTTAGAAGACTAAACATTGTTGGCAGAAAACTATTTACTGCTTGCACAAGATTACTAATTGGTCGTAGAAGACTAAATACTATTAGCAAATAAGTAAATGCTACTTGCGGAAAAAAATTTTTATTAATCGTAGGTGCCTATGAAAACAAATTGTAAGTAAAGCGGGAATGCAAGTGTCAAATTATTACCCACCATGCCTTACTGGCTAATAGTTGTTTAAAATGGCAAATAATAACAGTTTCAGTGCGCAAACTGGTATGCTTTTAACGTTGGATGAGTGTTTAGGCAATGCTAACGCAGCGGCGAGACGATATTGTAAAAATTATGTAAATAACATGAATTAGAGGTCACTTTGTACTTTGTAAGCAAAGAAACGAAGAAAGTATCTAAACCTAACATTATAATGAGGAATGAGTGACGAATTCAACAAAAACTGAACTTTTTTAATCAATGTGAAATGACCCAAAACTAACACTAGATTAACTTCAGTTATAAAACTTCTATTATATGATAACTAACTTCAGGTTTAAAATGTCAACCTCAATTTTGACATATTTGTAATCTTCATTAAAAATCCTTTAAAATGAGTACAAACACGACATATTTATCTTCAATATTAATGAAGTTATGGTCAACTTCCGGTTAAGAATGTCAACGTCAATTTTGACATATTTGTAATCGTCGTGAAAAATCCTTTAAAATGAGTCCAAACATGATACGTTTAATTCCAATATTACTCGAGATATAAGCAACTTCCGGTTTGAAATGTCAATGTCATTTTGACATATTCTTAATTTTTATAAAATGTCTTAATATTTGTCACAAAAACAAAAATATAATAAAAAAAAATCAAAAATTAAGGTTGGTATTAATATTTAAAAATTAAATTGCTATCTTCATTGTTGCTAACTTCGGGTTTAATGTTTTTTATTCTAACTTTTTTGTTTTTTGAGATAAGTGCGTCATCTTTGGACTCATTTTAAAGGTTTTTTAATGAAGATGACAAATATGTCAAAATTGACGTTGACGTTTCAAACCGGAAGTGATTGTATTTCCGTTAATATTAAAGTAAATATGTCGAGTTTGGACTCATTTTAAAGAATTTTTTATGAAGTTGACAAATGTGTGAGAATTAAAAGTTGAAAGTTCGAACTTTTTGGTTTTATGAGATAAATGTGTCAAAAGGTAAGGTAATTCATTAAAAAATATTCCATTTTGACATTTGACAATTTTTTTAGTTCTAAAGTTGTTGGTTTCTTCAAAAAATTAGATCGACGATTAAAAATCATTAAATCGTTATTGAGATATCTTAATTTTTAACAAACAAAATGGCGGAGATTTGACATTTAACATTTTCTAACCTAACTCTTTTGTTTTTTGTCCTAAATGTGTCATGTTTGGTGTCAAATTAACGGATTTTTACTTTTTATTAAGAAAATTAAAGATAATTTTTCATTAATAAATATTCGATTTTGACATTTGACATTTTTTTTTGTTGTAAAGTTGTTGGTTTCTTCAAAAAATTAGATTGACGATTAAAAATCGTTAAATATAAATCCAAACTCGGTATAGTTATCTTTAATCGTGATCGAGATTTTATAATTTTTAACAAACAAAATGGCGGATATTTGACATCTTCTAACCTAACTTTTTTGGCCTAAATGTGTCATGTTTGGTGTCAAATTAAAGGATTTTTAATTCTTATTAAGAAAATTAAAGATTTTTATCTTCATTATTGCTAATTTACGATTTAATGCTTTTTATTCTAATTTTTTTGGTTTTTGAGATAAGTACGTCATCTTTGGACTCATTTTAAAGGGTTTGTAATAAAGATGACAAATATGTCAAAATTGACGTTGACGTTTCAAACCGGAAGTGATTGTATTTCCGTTAATATTAAAGTTATGTCAAAATTAAAAGTTGAAAGTTCGAACTTTTTGGTTTTATGAGATAAATGCGTCAAGCTTAGATTCTCTTTAAAGGTTATTTTATGAAGATTACAAATATAATTGTAAGTAAATCGGGAATGCAAGTGTCAAATTATTACCCACCATACCTTAATGGTTAATAGTTGTTTAAATTGGCAAATAATAACAGTTTTAGTGAGCAAACTGGTATGCTTTTAACGTTGGGTGATTAGATAGAAGAGTGCAGCAGTGTAGAACCAACGAAACGGAGAAGGAGTACAGAGCATGAAGGAAGGAAGAAAAACAGTGAGGCAGGAATTAGAGAAAGTAACAACACAGTCGGGTACGAGGAAATTTTATCAGAATGTAAATAGGAAAAAATCTAAACCTAGGATTATAATGAGGATGACTAAGAGTGACGAATTCAACAAAAACTGGAAACAACAAGCAAAACAGAGTCTGATCCTCTTGTGTTTTTTAATCTAGTTCATATTATTCACAATTTGAATAGCTTCTCAGGGGCATTGAAATTGCTCCTTTATAATTTATCTTGGTATCGTTGCTCTACTTTTAAATTGCTCCTACTGCCACAATCCCATAGCATGATGCTATACAGATGTTTCTGTAAGTCGTGGTATAATTTTAATCTCAAACATTAGTGTAAAAATGATGTCAATCCCTGTAAAAACTTTTGGTCTAAATTCAAAAATGTTGAAATGAAATAACCTTTGTGAACATCAAAGTTCATTCAAAATGTTTAAAAATTTCTTAATTTTGAAGAGCCATATCTTAGCCATTTATGGGTATAGACCAACAATTTTTCAGAAAGACTCTGTATGAATATGAATATGATAATAATTACCAAAAAAGAGAATCTTAATTTTAAAAAGAGTAAAATTAACACCTATAAGCAATTAATTAGACGGTATACGCAATACTCAACTATCACAAGATTATACAGGGTGTTTTTGTAAGTTGTGGCATAAATTTAATCACTAAAACTAGGGACAAAATGATGACGATTCGTGTAAAAATGTTTTAAGAAAATAATCTAGAGTTTGATTTTGTACTTTTAAACTGGTTTTTATTTCATATAGAATTTAAGTCTAACTAGTTTCGGCCTTTAGCCATCTTCAGAGACTCTACAAATAGATTAACATCTCTCATCTTATCCATTTTACAAACAAGTTTCTTAATATTTCTTTTTGTTTTGTTAAAAAAGATCACATATCAAAGTTGAAATCAGATTATTAGTTACTATTTTATAAAATTAAAGTTTAAAAAGTTGTAAAATGAAATTCAGGACGAAGTGTTACAAGTTTACTGGTTAAAATTTAAGAACGCTCTTTTTTAACAAAAGAAATATTAAGAAACTTGGGAAAAATTCAAGAATCATCATGTGGCTTAAAAATCGACGATTTTTTTTAATCAGTGATCCAAAAAACACATTGAAAATAAAAAAAACTGTGCAAAAGTGACTAACACTAGATTAACTTCATTTATAAAACTTCTATTATATGATAACTAACTTCAGGTTTAAAATGTCAACCTCAATTTTGACATATTTGTGATCTTCATTAAAAATCGTTTAAAATGAGTACAAACACGACATATTTATCTTCAATATTAATGAAGTTATGGTCAACTTCCGGTTAAGAACGTCAACGTCAATTTTGACATATTTGTAATCGTCGTGAAAAATCCTTCAAAATGAGTCCAAACACGATACGTTTAATCCCAATATTACTCGAAATATAAGCAACTTCCGGTTTGAAATGTCAATGTCATTTTGACATATTCTTAATTTTTATAAAATGTCTTAATATTTGCCACAAAAACAAAAATATATAAAAAAAAAAAATAAAAAATTAAGGTTGGTATTAATATTTAAAAATTAAATTGCTATCTTCATTGTTGCTAACTTCGGGTTTAACGTTTTTTATTCTAACTTTTTTGTTTTTTGAGATAAGTGCGTCATCTTTGGACTCATTTTAAAGGTTTTTTAATGAAGATGACAAATATGTCAAAATTGACGTTGACGTTTCAAACCGGAAGTGATTGTATTTCCATTAATATTAAAGTTAAATATGTCGAGTTTGGACTCATTTTAAAGGATTTTTTATGAAGTTGACAAATGTGAAGATTAAAAGTTGAAAGTTCGAACTTTTTGGTTTTATGAGATAAATGTGTCAAAAGGTAAGGTAATTCATTAAAAAATATTCCATTTTGACATTTGACAATTTTTTTAGTTCTAAAGTTGTTGGTTTCTTCAAAAAATTAGATCGACGATTAAAAATCATTAAATCGTTATTGAGATATCTTAATTTTTAACAAACAAAATGGCGGAGATTTGACATTTAACATTTTCTAACCTAACTCTTTTGTTTTTTGTCCTAAATGTGTCATGTTTGGTGTCAAATTAACGGATTTTTACTTTTTATTAAGAAAATTAAAGATAATTTTTCATTAATAAATATTCGATTTTGACATTTGACATTTTTTTTTGTTGTAAAGTTGTTGGTTTCTTCAAAAAATTAGATTGACGATTAAAAATCGTTAAATATAATTCCAAACTCGATATATTTATCTCTAATCGTTGTCGAGATTTTATAATTTTTAACAAACAAAATGGCGGATATTTGACATCTTCTAACCTAACTTTTTTGTTTTTTGGCCTAAATGTGTCATGTTTGGTGTCAAATTAAAGGATTTTTAATTCTTATTAAGAAAATTAAAGAAAACTTTTTTATCTTCATTATTGGTATCTTACGATTTAATGCTTTTTATTCTAACTTTTTTGTTTTTTGAGATAAGTGCGTCATCTTTGGACTCATTTTAAAGGTTTTTTAATGAAGATGACAAATATGTCAAAATTGACGTTGACGTTTCAAACCGGAAGTGATTGTATTTTTGTTAATATTAAAGTAAAATATGTCGAGTTTGGGCTCATTTTAAAGGATTTTTTATGAAGTTGACAAATGTGTGTTGAAAATTAAAAGTTGAAAGTTCGAACTTTTTGGTTTTATGAGATAAATGTGTCAAGTTTAGATTCACTTTAAAGGTTATTTTATGAAGATTACAAATATAATAATAAAATTAAAGTTGATATTGACAACTGAAAGTTTTTTTCAAACAAATAGTATTTTAGGTCTTTCGGTATTCTGCATTTTTTCTAAGATAAGTTACACCTTTACATACCAGACAGCATGAAAATCTCTAAAAACTATAAAATGTCGCTTAGTCAAGTGATGTATAACGCAGTCCAATTGTAACTCGGATAGTATCGTGGAGCAGTGAACAATGCCATTACTCATTTTATGAAGAAAGATTAAATCATTTATATTGCGCCTGGAGGAAAGCAACGAGATGCCGAAAACTGTGCATCGCCGAACATAAGGTGACGAAAAAAATGCTTTTGGACTAGCTCTAGACGATCAATGTAGATTTGATACTGGGGGTTCCAAACGGTAGATGTATAGTTCAGAACAGATGATACATAGGCAATATAGAGTGAACGGATATAGGATAGATTAGTGAAAGGATGACATACACGACATATTAATCCGAGCATCCGGGAGGCCTTGTTAACAATATAATCAATATGGAGAGAAAATGTAAGTTTGGAGTTAAAGAGAACGCCAAGATCTCTAACGCATTCAGATTGTTTGAGAATGTTAGAGCCGAGGGAATAATCAAAAGCAATAGGATAGCGTTTACGTGTAAATGTGATTTTGCAAATATTTTGCTGTTATGGGCATACAAAAACAATTTTTAGTGGTGAAAGCAGGCATGAATATCATTAATGTAGAGCTGAAATAACAGTGGCCCCAAATGGCTGCCCTGAGCCACACCGAAAATAATGTCTCTGAATGTTGAGCGATAATTGTTAATAGTAACGACTTGTGCCTGTAACTGCCGCAAGACTATTAACTTTTTACTTGTAAAAATTTGCTTACTGCTTTTAGAAGACTAAACACTATTGGCAGAAAACTATTTACTGCTTGCACAAGATTACTAATCGGCCGTAAAAGACTAAATACTACTAGCAAATAGTAAATGCCATATGCAGAAGATTATGTATTGTTGGAACATGCCTAGATGCTGTTTGCAGAAGACTAGATAATGCTGGCTGAATACTAGATACTACATTTAGAAGATTACATACTGCTACAGGAAGACTATTAATTTTCTGATTGTAGAAAATTGCTTACTGCTCTCAGATGATTGGCAGAAAACTATTTAGTGCTTGCACAAGATTACTAATCAGTTGTAAAAGACTAAATCATGGTGGCAGAACACTAGATACTGCCGTTAGAGTATTACATACTGCTGCTGCAAGACAATTAAGTTTCTGATTCAGTCTGCATTTAAAACATACAAGTTGCAATTAGCAGATGTCATTTACAGTCTTGTGTATTTCAAATTGGGCATTTATAGTTTGTAATATAAAAATAATAAAATGTATGTAATAAACACGAAGTAAATTGTTTAAAATTCTAAATAAATGGTTTATTAGAGGTAACCAAAAAAAGAAAAAAAAAAACATATTTTGATACCTTTTAAATGTAACGTTAATTACAGAACATCTATTGTTTGCGTGCTTGTAATTAGGGAATCCGGGCTCGTGGGGTAATTTAGCCTTAGAGACAGGTGCATTGTCCGTATCGCCCTTTGCTGCAGAGCGGTTCAGGGACGCAACCCCCGCACGGGGCCGCATTACGTAATCTCAGCAAGTAAACCTAAATCCCCCTCCACACATTGTTCTGACAACCCTCACGACCCAATTTAATAATAAAAATGGAAAAAAATAAATGAAAAATATTAAAAAAAAAAAAAACAAACGTTATGTTTAATTAATTTTCCTGGAAAAGTTTACGGCCAAGTATACCGGACGGGGAGCTAATTTTGAAGTTAACTGGATGAGAGGTTTTCCGTGGGGAAAAGTTCTTTCTCGAGTACCGTTCGTTGTCGGGAAATAGCCACAAATTGAAAGTTAGGATTTCCGGTCACCAACGAAATGGGATTGTTTGAGTTGGGGCACTTATGTTTGGTTTAATCGAGTCCCCTTCAATTCTTGAAAACGGATTGACACGTAAAAAAATCTTTTTGTTTCTATTTTTTTTTACGTACCGTAATCTGAGTCATCACTAAAATCATCCCCATCATCCAAATCTAAGTCAGTAAAATTTGAATCAGTATCGGTATCCAAAACTTCGTTGTTCTGATCATCCGCTTCGTTGTTATCCAATTCTTCACCGCTGTTAGTTTTGGTAGTTTTAATAGTTTCGGGGTCGGTTGAATTGTCATCGTTGCTCGCTAATTTATTGTAATCTTTTCTTGCTGGCCGATTTTCTGTAACAACATTAATTTACAATTTCAATATTAATTTCATAACAAACAAACGGTTTAATTGGATAGAATTAACACGAGTTGGAACTCTTGGGGAGTGTTTAAACTGTAATTAAACATGATGATTGAATTTTTCCTCTCATAAAAAAAATCAATATTTACGAGGTTATATATCAAATTTATTCAATAAAAATATATAACAATCTAAAGCTGAATCACAATTAAAACTATAGCTAACACTAGAATTTGAACTAACACTAGAACTAGAAATATTCAAGTTTAGCCGTATGTCTAAAAAGATGGCTAAATTCGTATATTTCTAGGTCTAGATTTAATGTTGGTTATTGTGATAGTGCTAATGTTAGTTCTAGTAGCTAGAATTAACACTTTTGTTATCGTTAGAACTAACACTAGACCTAGAGCTAGAAACATTCGGGTTTAGCCGAACGTCTCAAAAGACGGTTAAACCCGAATTTTTCTAGTTCTAAGTTTAGTGTTAGTACTAACTATTCGAACTAGTCTTTCTTTTGCAAGAAAATTAATAGAGCGGCTCCTTGTGACGTCACGCTCCAATGTTATAAGTATAGGGAAAGTGACCAACTTAAATCTGGGGGACCAAAAAGTTACTAGATTTAGGTTGGTATTGAAAAAGTAACTAAATATGGTGTGTTTCTTAAAAAAGTAACTAGAAAAATTCGCGCAACCTAGTGTGGTTGGTGGTGGAATTAAACCCAAGAGATTTGTGTACGCGGAAAACGGGGGGGCGGCGCGCAACCTAGCGGTAGGTAGTGAAAGCTTACATAAAACAATTTTCAAAATTTCTGTGGGAAACCTAACTTAAAAATTTTGCCTTGAACTCATATTGATTAGAAATCTTGTACAACCAATAAATAGTTTCCTGTCGACAGTGTTTAGTCTTCTAAAAACAGTAAGCAGTTTCCTACAAGGAGAAAGTTAAAAGTCTAGTAGCAGCAGTAAGTAATCTTCTAAATGCAATACCAACACAAGCAAACAGCATCCAGTCATATTCCAACAATATATAATCTTCTGCAAGTAGCATTTACTCATTTGCTAGTAGTATTTAGTTTTCTACGACTGATTAGTAATCTTGTACAAGTAGTAAATAGTTTTCTGCCAACATTGATTAATCTTCTAAAAGCAGTAAGCAATTTTCAGCAAGCAGAAAGTTAATAGTCTTGCAGCAGCAGTATGTAATCTTCTAAATGCAGTATCTAGTGTTATGTCTGCATTATTTAATCTTCTGCAAATAGCATCTAGTCATGTTCCAATAACACATAATCTTCTGTAAGTAGCATTTACTCATTTGCTAGTAGTATTTAGTCTTCTACGACTAATTAGTAATCTTCTGCAAGTAGTAAATAGTTTCTGCTAACATTCTTTAATCTTCTAAAAGTAGTAAGCAATTTTCTACAAGTGGAAAGTCAATAGAATTGCGGCAGCAGTATGTAATCTTTTAAATGAAGTATCTAGTGTTCCGCCTGCATTATCTAGTTTTCTGCAAACAGCATCTAGTCATGTTCCAACAATATATAATCTTCTGCAAGTAGCATTTACTCATTTACTAGTAGAATTTAGTTTTTAGTTAGGCAATAAATAGTTTTCTGTCAACATCATTTAGTTTTCTAAAAGCAGTAAGCAATTTTCTGCAAGCAAAAAGGTAATAGTCTTGCAGCAGCAGTATGTAATCTTCTAAATACAGTATCTAGTGTTATATCAGCATTATTTAATCTTCTGCAAACAGTATCTAGTCATGTTCCAACAATATATAATCTTCTGCAGGTAGCATTTACTCATTTGCTAGTGGTATTTGGTCTTCTACAAACGATTAGTAATCTTGTGCAAGCAGTAAATAATTTTCTGCTAACTGTGCTTAGTTTTCTAAAAGCAGTAAGCAATTTTTTACAACCAGAAAGTCAATAGAATTGTGTCAGCGGTATGTAATCTTCTAAATGCAGTATCTATTGTTTTGTCAGCATGATCTAGTCTTCTGCAAACAGTATCTAGACATGTTCCAATAATACATATTTTTCTTCAAGTAACATTTATTCATTTACCGGTAGTATATCTAGTCTTCTACAATCGATTAATAATCTTATGCAAGCAGTAAACAGTTTTCTGCTGACAGTGTTTAATGTTTTAAAAGCAGTAAGGAATTTTCTACAAACAGAAAGTTAATTGTCTTGCGACAGCAGTATGTAATATTTCAAATTCAATATCTAGTGTTATGTCAGCATTATTTAATCTTCTGCAAACAGCATCTAGTCATGTTCCAATAATACATAATCTTTGGCAAGTAGTATTTACTCATTTGCTAGTAGAATTTAGTCTTCTACGAACGATTAGTAATCTTGTGCATACAGCAAATAGTTTTCTGTCAACATTATTTAATTTTCTAAAAGCAGTAATTAATTTTCTACAATCAAAAAGTTAATAGTCTTGCGGCAGCAGCATACAATCTTCTAAATGCAGTATCTCGTATTCCGTAAGCTTTATCTAGTTTTCTACAAAGAGCACCTAGTCATATTATAACAATACATAATCTTCTGCAGGTAGCATTTACTCATTTGCTAGTAGTATTTAGTCTTTTACGACCGATTAATAATCTTGTGCAAGTAGTAAATAGTATTCTGCCAACATTGTCTAGTCTTCTAAAAGCAATAAGCAATTTTCTACAAGCAGAAAGTTGAAAGTCTTTCGGCAGCAGTATGTAATCTTCTAAATGCAGTATCCAGTGTTCTGCTAACATCATCTAGTCTTCTGCAAACAGCATCTAGTCATGTTCTAACAGTATATAATCTTCTGCAAGTAGCATTTACTCATTTGCTAGTAGTATTTAGTCTTTTACGACCGATTAATAATCTTGTGCAAGTAGTAAATAGTATTCTGCCAACATTAATTTACCTTCTAAAAGCAGTAAGCAATTTTCTATAAGACGAAAGTAAATAGTCTTGCGGCAGCAGTATGTAATCTTCTAAATGTAGTATCTAGTCTTTCGTCAGCGTTATCTAGTCTTCTGCAAACAGCATCTAATCTTTTATTAGCAGTACCTAATCTTGCATTAGCAATATCTAGTCCTACCAATAGTATTCTGACTTTTTCCAGATTTATCTAGTTCTGTTCAAGCAGCATCTAGTCCTTTATTAGCAGTGTGTAGTTCTCTACAAGCAGTATTTATTCCTTTGCCAGCAGTATCTATACTTTTACAATGAGTTTGTATCCTTCTGTAAGCAATAAGTAGTGTTCTATCAACAGTTTGTTGACATCTGAAAGAAGTATGTAATTTTCTGCAAGAAATAAGCAAATAATCTTAGTCCAGGAGTACGTAGTCTTCTACAAACATTATCAAATCTTTTATCAGCACTCTCTAGTCTTCTGCAAACAGTATCCAGTCATCCGTTAGCAGTATAAACGATACTAGCAGTACTCAGAAACATTGTCAATCTTCTGCAACTAATTTAATAATTCCGTAAGTAGTATGTAATCTTTCTTTAGCAGTATCTAGTCTTCCATTAGCAGTATCTAGAACATATACGACAGTATTTAGTCATTTTTGGGCATTATCTAGTTTCTTGCCAATAATGTGTAGTCTTCTGCCAACATTATCTAGATTTCTGCAAGCATTTATTAGCAGTATCTAATTTCTTGATAATTAATCGACGAAGATTTTTCTGATTATTAAGTTTTAAGAAAACACCATTCATAACTGCTCCGATTTATTACAAAAAAGCAAGTAATTGATTTTATCTATTCTCGTTTGTAAATAACTAACTTAATTAATAACTAGCTAACTTCACACACTGTTTCATAATAGTTTTTTTACGCTTCTGTTACTTCACGCACTGCTGTCAAATTTCACGCACTGTTGTCAATAATGACGTTTTTTACGAATTGAAAATACTTAATTGATTATTAAGTTCAAAAATTTCTAACTAACGTCATTTTTCGCTCGTCGCGTTGATTGCTTTTATTGACATTTTACATATTAATGACAAAGAATTATGCTGCCAACTTAAATTTATAAATTATTACCAACTTAAATAAATATGACAGTTTACAATTTTATACATAAGTATTGTGTTTAATGATAAAAATACTTCTCTTTTTAAACTTTTACCCTGATCACGAATCACGAACATATCCTATAAAAAACTATCTAATGTGAAACAACCCCTTTTGCGTGATTTTACATCATTTATTTCCCCAAAGAGTTTTTATGGAAGGTCACAAACCCGTTTTATTTCCCTTCATCTATTCTAATGATTTTTTTTTCTATTCGTAACCTCAAAGTTTAATCAAATTTTTAGTTGGTGCTTTTTAATGATTCATTAAATTGAAACGCCACGAAATGTTTGCAACAATTCGAAGCCAAACTTATAACCAGAATTTCCGAGCAAAACCCACGACATTATGTTGTTGTTGAGTTTGAAAATTATTAGTAAACTACGGTAGACTTTAAGGGCGTTTCACTTTATCTCAAAACGTTGTTAGCTTGAAAGCTATATTCTCCGACCTAGTTTATCAACAATATTCACCACAGACTAAAATCACTCATCCATCCCAAAATTATTTAACAACCTAACTTTTTATTTAAAAAATGCGAGGGTGTTATTTTGTGCATGCACCATTTTGTGGGTAATAAAATTAAATCGATAATTTCAGCGACCAGGTCATTTCTAGTAAAATAAAATCAGCACAACTTTAAAAATTTTTTGTTTATACATCTATAATTTTCGTCGAAGTCAATCCATTTTCATTTAACTCCAACCCACTTCTCCTCAGTACATGGAATAGAATGGATACTATGGGGAGCGAAGCCACATCCAATTTCAGTTCCCGGAAACGTCATTCGAAGTCATTTCCCAGGTTGTTCCCAATCCGAATCTTGTTATCCGATTTGATTTAACGGAGATCAAGTAGATTTCCCGAAAATAGTTCAAAAATCGAGTTATTTTTGTACTTAGCAATTTTATGAAGGTCGAAAA